ATTTCCCTTTTTGAATCTCAGCAAAGACTCAGCAAAATCAAGAAGTTACCACCACCTCCGCAGCTAATGAGCTGCAGAGAACAGGTAGAAGGTGTAACCCCCCACCCTGCTGGGCCCCAGTGATAGGAATGCCTGGGAGGAGTGAGACCACAACTTCCAACTTGTTGATTCCAAGCTGTGGGCTGGGACTAACATGCCCCTCAAGCCTCATCCTTTCTCACTCCACCCCCCACTCCCTCCTGAATATTTATGGTGAAAGGAGCAGGTGGTAAATGCAGTTGAGAGTTAAAGCCACTGGGTGCCAACCTTGGGGGCTGGTAGAGAAGATGAGCTTGGCACTTAAAATGCAAAGGCTCTACCCTAAATCTGTGCACATTTTTAAGAACGATGAGTGAGTCCACAATGCTTTATCTACTATAAAGATTTCCCAGTCCTGATCCCTCAACTGGAACAGAGCAGACGGAGCCCTTGTTTCTCTCCCTGGGCCAGATGTGAGCTCCTGACAAGCCCTCATCAGTCTTTGGTGGTCTAGCACGGTGATTTTCCAAGTGGGGTCTGAACTTACAGCCTTCTAGGAACTGGGGATTAGCACCAATTACACACCAGGCTCCATTCTAAATGCTTTATATGCATCCCCACTAGACCATGTAAAGTACACACCCAGATCCGAGACCTGCCCTTCAATTGCCCCCATTGTCAGATGAGGAAATAGAGGCAGGTTGAACTTGCCCATGGTCATGCAGCTAGAAGAGATGAGGATTCAGACGTAAGCAGTGTGGTTCCGGAGGACAGACCCTAGGAACCATCATGGGACAGGAGGGACTCTGTGCACTTGGCCACATGTCCATGAAGGTAGCACAGATGCTAGGGTGTCCGTTTTTCCAGCTGAGGCTTAGGGAAAAGGTGAAGTGGCTTGCCCAGAGGTCAGGGTTGGGGCAGAGCTTGGTCTGGGGTCTCAGATTTCATTTTCTGCCCATGCACTCTGTCTTCGGGCAGGTGTGTCTGGGCAGGACTCAAGCAGGGGCCTGGGCATCAGGAGGTGTTGGCCCAGACACTGGGGCTGGGGAACCGGAAAGGGGTGGGTACTAAGCACTGGGTGCAGGGTACAGCCCACCACAGGGAAGGAGTTGGGCATCACAACACACTCTCTGTGCAGCAGCAAAACGTGGGCGGAAAACACATTTGTTGAGGATCTGCTACATGCCAGGTACTGCGTATACAATACCGGGGCCTATTGAATCCTTACAACAGGCCTGAGAGGCTTCTCATTTTAGAAACGAGAAAGTGTCAGCAAGACTGGGCCGAAGTGACCCAGCTAGGAGGTGACAGAACCAGAATTCCAACCTCGGTGTGGGCACCTGAAACCTGACTGCCTACTCCTAAACCGCACGCTGTAAGTTCGAGTTCCCCCCAACTTCCCGTCAAAGGCCCTTCTCAGTGGAGTGCATGGGGCCAGTGGGTCAGCTGGCTGGAGACTTGTGGGGGCAGAAAGCATGGCCGTCAATGCTATTCTTTGGGGTCAAGTCCACTGCAGCCTGAAGTTGAGGTCATCCTCTCCGGCTGACACGCCTTCACACGTCCCAAGTGGCGGACACATGGGTGGGAGCAGAGGCTGCGCGCTGTGCCCTTGAGTCACCCTGCTGCGAAGGCTGTGAGCCCTGCTGCCGCTTTGCCTATGTGGGCTGGGGAGGGGGCATGACTGGGTGTGGCAGGCTGGTCACTGGCACAGTGGTCACAATGTCAGGACTTTCTGTCATCCCCTGTACAGATGAGGAAATGTGCTCAGAAAGGGCATGTGACTCACAGCCAGTGGCTGGTGGGGCTGGGAGCAAGGCTTCCTTACCCCCAGACTGTGTTCTGTGTCCTGCAACCCCATGTCCTACGACAAGTCCAGCAGCAGCAGCCATGCTGGGGCGACCCCCACGGCAGGGGCTGGGGTGGGGGAGGAGGGAATGTGGGACCCGGAGGGCAGGGCCTAGAAGCAGCCTGAGGAGAGGTGGAAGTGGGTCTGATGTGGGCCCAGGATCAGGACCCCCGGGGGCTCAGTCCAGCAGGGGGTCTGGCCAGCTGCCCTAATCAGATCAGCTCAGGCCAGATCCAGTGCCGTGGGCAAGACATATACTTGGCACAAGACTCCAGGCAGGCCACGGAGTTAGGAATAGGAACAACAGGCGTCAAGAACCAAGAAGAGAATCAGGGTTCAACCAGGGGAGCAAGAGAGCAGGGTGAGTGAGAACTTAGGCGTTTAGGGAAGTCAGGTTTGATTCTTGTCTGTGCCACTTAGGAGCTGAGTGACCTTGGGTAAGTTACTTAACCTCTCTGAGCCTCACAGATAGGGGAAATCCTGCAGGTAAAGCACCATCACAGGGTAGCATTAGGCAGGAGTCTGGGGAGCTGGTAGATAGGCTGCCCTGGACCCTGGGTCTGTGGCTAGTCCCCGCCTCCACCTGCTGGTAGGGCTGAAATTCTTTCTGGGATCCTGCCGGGTTCAGAGCAGGACTGGGAACTGGACCGACCTCAGCCAGTGGGTGGAGGGCAGTAGCGACTATGCCATGGGCAAAACTGGCACTAACAATGCTGCCACCAAGGAAGGGATGATGGTAAAATGGATTCTAGATGCTTTCACTCAGAAATACCACAAGGATGAGATAAGCACTGGGCGTTCAATTCAGGCCCACTGCGATAAAGCCTCTCTTCTACTTGGAGTTCTCCGTAAAAGCATTACATGGCCTCAGAAGCCAGGGCCCTGCGGTGACTTCCTGCATCACGTCCCAGCTGATGAGGATGCCCCGAATCTTCTCTGGGGAGCAACAGGTTGAGGACAGCAAAATGAAGGGTCTTTGCTAATAAAACCCACCCGTGGTTCAAGTCCCTTCACATGCCCATGCACATAGGAACAAGCATTTTCTTAGAAGCACCTGTCACCCACTAGTCCAGTGGTTCTCAACCTTGGCTGCACGTTAGAATCACCTGGGAATCTTTTTAAAATCCTGGTTTCTGGGCCTCATCCTCCGGAAATTCTGTTTCTTTGTTATGGGGTGGGGCCACAACATTAGTAACAAAGAAACAGAATTTCTGGAGGATGAGGCCCAGAAACCAGGATTTTAAAAAGATTCCCAGGTGATTCTAATGTGCAGCCAAGGTTGAGAACCACTACAGTAGTTGAAGTCAACTAATTTGGCTGCCTCTGGCTTCCTTTGCTGAATCAAAGAAGGAAAGTGAAAATGTGTATGGCCTGGAAATTTACAAGGGCATGGACTAGACACTGCCACTTGGATTAAATCCAAGAACTAATAGACAAAGGCAACTTCCCCGAGATTCCCACCAGCCCACCTCTCTCGCTGCAAAGTCCCCTTCTCTTTAGCAAGTTTTGTTCACTCCCAAGAACATGTGAGCTACTTCCCCAAGCTAGTTCCACAAGACTCGAGACCCACAGCAGCCAAGCCCCGTGAGCTGCTATGACAGCGAGGGGGGACAGCGATGCCTGAACTCCACCGCCTGCCCTCTGCCTGGAGATACATCTTTATTTTCTTTCCTCCCTCCCTGGGAAGGAAGGATCCTTTGTGAAGGCCCACTAAAGTGAGCAACAAAGAACAGTGGGCAGGGAAGCCTGAGAATCCCCTACCCGCCCCAGCCAAGCAGCTGGCCCTCCCAACTCGGAACAGCCCTGCTCCCCAGGGGGGCTGGCACTGCTATTGTCCGGTCACTCAGTTCCCCCAGAGCCGCAGCATCACGCTGGCCACCTCCTCCCCTGCACTCCATGCTCATTTCAAATCATTTCATTAACAAGGACATCTCTACTTCTGGAAGCTATTCCCCTTTAACGGAGCATGCGAGACCCCCACTCTCCTCCTTAGCTCCGGGGTGGTCCCCGTGCCTGAGCTCAGAGACTGCTGTTTTACTGGAAAGCAGACATGCTGCCCATTCGTAAAACACCTGAGGTTGACACGAGTCACCAGCCAGACGGATGCCCCAAATGCTCAGCCACGCTCACGGTGAAAAAAACCCGGGGGGAGGTTTCAGGCTCCTGCAAGGGCAGGAGAGGGGGTCCACCCACAGACGGTGGTCTTCCTGTCCGACATCTACCCAGTGCATTTAATACATTTTTTAAGGTGTCAAGTTTCAAGAAACCTTTCAAGGGTGTCTTCCTTAATTCTCTGGCCCAAGAAGAGGGAGTGTGTAGCAGCCTGAGATGCAGGGAGAGTAAGCTGCTGCCACTGGGCATATTACCAATCGCAGCCTAGTTTAATAAGTTGTCTGCAGCAGCGGTCGCCAACCAGTGGTCTGTGAGGTCCAAAGGTTGGCGACCGCTGGTCTGCAGGACATCACAGAGCCAGCGCTCAGAGGAGCAGGCTGATTTGTGGCTCGAGGGTTGCCACTTCTTGGGGGCAAGCTCTCTGTTCTTGCGGTAGGACTCTTGAGAAAGAACTCCTGCTCTGATCTAGTTCCTCTCTCTCTCTGATTCCCAAGCCAGCCTGCTCCCCCGAGGAACAGCCTTGCAGAAGCCTTCAAGGAACCCGAAAACAATATAAGCGACCTCTCATGTCAGGCGATGGCAAATGGGGGGGCGGGGGGGGGCGCGGGCGTGGAACACGAGGGTCACCTTTTGAAAAAACAGCTTCAAAATACACGACTACCCGGGACAAAGCAATGTTCTGTTGACCGAAGCTTCAGAGCTCTACTGATGTTAGTAACAAACAAACCTGTGAAAGTGGAGGGGCTAGCGGCCCCACTCCGGACGCGGCCCTGAGCTGAATGCCTTCTGCCTCTCCGTCCACTCTCCATCATCTGCACCTGCTCCTTGGCTGTGGTACAGGCCACAGGGACTGGGCGGAGAGCAAATGAGGCGGGAGGGAGGGAGGGAGAAAGGGAGGAAATTTACCTCTTGTAGGTCACAGCAGGTTAGTTGTGCCCCTGCCAGCCCTATACCCACTCTTCAAATACCCTCAAATTACCCATTTTGAGTGTGTTCTTTCCTGCCAAGACCCTAACACAGGCACTTCATTAAATACCCAGGTATTTATTATGCCCTTGAACCAATGACCATGTTGTAAACATCAATGTCAAAAGACCCAGCCCTGCCCCAGGCCATAGACCACTTTAAAGATCCCTGTTTGAAAATGTAGGCCTGACCTGCTTGGTCTTCAGTCCTGGGAAGCTTTCTGGAGCCCAGGTTTAAGGAATGAAGGGCTCCGGAAGGCCTCTTCGGGTGTCCCAGTCTGGTAGGTGGGTGCTCTCACACCCCCAGAAAGCAGGGTCTGCACAGGCTTGGGTCTTGTACCTAAAGACTGGCCATCCCATGGGGACTTCTTTTCCAGGGGGACCCCTCCGGTTAGGGAGGGTTGAGAATTCCCACACCTTGCTGTCACCTGGAAGGAGCAAGGCTGGGTGTTGGCACTTCACTGAGCCGAACACTGGCAACACGGTCCCCAACAGGCTATACAGAAAGGCAGAATGCAACCGCAGCTGGGACGCCCCACGCTGCCTGTGGCTGTGTCTTATTCAGATGTCTTTTGGTCTTCAAGTCTCAGGAGCGTTCTGTTAAGGTGTCTGGAATGTTTCTGCCTGGCATGGAGGCAGCACGTGCCACCAACTCCCCGGAGACAGATGAGGCCCAGTGTGCTCTGCTGTCCACACTGAGCCCAACTCCAGCCCTCCGGGCGGGTCCTGCCATCTCTCCGAGCTCCCAAGCCTGGCTCAGCACCGACCCTCTTGCCACAGCCCCCTCCTAGATAAGGTGCACAAGCAGGGCCGAGCAGGCGGAGCCGAGCACCAAGCCCAAGTACATGTAGAAGGACATCACCACCCCTGTGGCCTCAGCCAGTTCCCTGGACACGATCTTCGGCCCGTAGATGAGGGCCAGCGTGCTGAGGTAGCCATTGCTGAGCCCCAGCAGGGAGCTGAACAGCATTGGGTAGATGTCGGACGGGAAGACCACCGTCTGCAGGTGGACACGGGGCTGGTAGTTGCAGAACACAAAGAGGGGGACGAGGCCGGTCCGGAGCAGCACCAGCCCAGGGAGCACCTTACTTCTGGGCCCTGGCACCTGGATCCAGGCTGTGATCTGCCGGCCACACAGGTCAGAGAAGTTGAACAGCAGGAAGGCAGTGAGGGGGACGAAGAACTTGGTGGTCCACGGCGAGCCCGAGTCCTTGTCCAGAGACTCGATGTTGGTGGAGACGGCGGGGAAGATGATGCTGGTGATGAAGAGGAGGTAGATGATGCAGAAGCCCAGACCAGCTGTCTTCTTTAGGATGGGGCGCAGGGGTGGCGTCGGGGAGGAGCTGGGCCTGGGGGCCGCCAAAGGGGCAGTGGGGGAGTCCTGGCCTGGCTGCTCTTCACCAGAATACACGTGGGCGGGCCAAACAGGCCTCATGTAGTACCTGCCAGGGGAGAAGACACGTGGTCAGAGGGCCCCAGAAAGAAAACTGGGGATTTCCAGGGACAAGGCAGGGGACCTTTGGGCCCAGCGTGCAAAGCCCAAGCCCCTGCTGGCCTGCAGCCCTAGGCTGCTCTCGGGTGAGGTGCGAGCCGCAGGATGGCGGGAGGGGAGCTGCAGTGTCTGGCCTGCCTGTCCGGGTGCTGCCTGAACGGCTGGCCTCCAGCAGCCCGCTGTTGTGTGGTGGTGGCCATACCCGGAGACGGGACAGAGGAAACCATCTCTGACCACCATATGGCGAGCCTGGGCTCCAGTCACAGCTCACTGGTTTTTGGGGGGAGGAGGGTGGAGATAAAATAACACTTAAAAATACACATCTTTGAAATTATAAAAGCAATACATGCTTGATTTCATGAACCCAAATAACGCAGAAGAGAAATGACGTAGTACAACAAGACTTTTCACCTCTGGCCTCACTCCTCAGAGGTACTGATCATTCAAAATCTGGTGAATATTGTTGTTCTACATGTGCAAACACCCCACACCTCCTCAAGCCCAGTTACATTTCTTTTCTTTTCTTTTTTTAAAATATATTTTATTGATTTTTTACAGAGGGGAAGGGAGAGGGATAGAGAGTCAGAAACATCGATAAGAGAGAAACATCAATCAGCTGCCTCCTGCACACCCCCCACTGGGGATGTGCCCGCAACCAAGGTACATGCCCTTGACCGGAATCAAACCTGGGACCTTTCAGTCCGCAGGCCGACGCTCTATCCACTGAGCCAAACCGGTTACGGGAGCCAGTTACATTTCTTAAGCAAAAGTAGCATCAAAGTACGTATTGCAAGACTTTCCGCAGCAGTCTAATTCCTAAATATATAAAAAATACATCAAGTAACTGCCTGAATACACAATAACTGTTATGCATAAATGCATACATATAACTGTCTATGGAACACTGTGTGGCCATCTTTCACACGAGGACGCCGGGCTCTGTGTCTGTTGCATTGCTGCATCGTGTTTCACTATATGAACATACAATTCACCTGCTCCCCTACTGATGGACTAGTAGGTTAGCGCCAGTTTTTCTCTACTACAAACACAGGTGCGATGACTATCCCTATACATCAGTCCTTGCGCGTGTTTAAGTATTTTAGTAGGGCAGATTTCTAGGAGAGCAACTGCTGCATCAAAAGGTTTGTAACTTTAGCCCAGCTGGTATGGCTCAGTGGTTGAGCCCCAAGCTATGAACCAGGAGGTCATGGTTCGATTCCTGGTCAGGGCATATGCTAGTCAGGCGTCCTCAAACTACGGCCCGCGGGCCACCTGCGGCCCGCAGAAAACATTAATCCGGCCCGCCGGGTGTTTTTGCCGCCGCTGCCTGTCCTGCTTAGCAGCCGACTCGTCCCGGGCCCGCAGTGCGCATGTGTGGAATGTCTGAGGGACAGTGAACTGGCCCCCTGTTTAAAAAGTTTGAGGACCTCTGTGCTAGGTTGTGGGCTCTATCCCCAGTTGGGAGCATGCGGGAGGCAGCCAATCAATGGCTCTCATCATTGATGTTTCTATCACTTTCTCCCTCTCCCTCCCTCTCTGAAATCAATAAAAATATTAAGACTTTGTCAAATATTGATGAACTGCTCTTCAAACAGGTAGGACTAATATATCTCTGCTCTGTCTGACCCACCTCCTCCACCCTTTTAATCTCTCTGAGAGCACCTATTTATTGCTCTTAAAAAACTGACCACAGTTTATGATCATTGTGTTAGTTACTGGTTTATCTTCTGTCTCCTTTAATAAAAGACAGCTCCCTGGGGCAAGGACTATGTTTGGCTTTTTCCAGCTCTCCAGGCACAAAATATCCTTCAAAATATAATTTTTGAAAGAACTGATAAGCCTATAAAAGTGCCTTTCCCGCCATATCCTCAATACTGAATATGATCAATCTTTTCCATTTCTGCTCCTCTGATCAGAGAAGAAAAGGCGTGGGTCACTTTGCCTTGCTGTGTGACCTTGTCTGGGTCACTCAACCTCTCTGGGCCTCAGATATCTGAAAACCAAGAGACATGGGCCGACTGTATTGAGATACCTCAAACAGAAGGCTCGGTGTGGTGGTGGTGGGAGAACAGCAGCGTGGCGACAGCTGGGTTCTGATTTCAGTCCTACTCTGCCTCCCTGTGTGATCTTAAGCCAGGCCTGCCCCACTGTGGGCCTCAGTTTCCTCCTCTGTAAAATGGGGGGCTCTGCAGCCTTGAGCTTTTGAGATCTGTGCCAGTCTCCTCATCCTAAGAGCCTATAAATAACAAGCAGGTCGGTGGGAGGATTCCTCCCCACAATCACATTTTCATGTGATGCCCAGGTGGGAGCTTTGGCCTGGAACCCCGTCTCGATTTACAATCACTATTTAAGGAAAGAAATCTTCTTACTTCTCCCTTTACTCAGTGTCAGGTCCTCGCCCTAAGTCTTCTCTGAGGAAGCTCCCCACCAGGTTCCTGTGGTTGAAGCTCTTCCTCTTAAGTTCTTCCAACTCTAACCGGCTCACCTTACCCTAGCAAGGTCACCAGCCTCCAATACGGCACGAGGCCCAGTTCCTCCTGGGCGGGAAGGGGCAGCCCAGCCCTCCTGGTGCAGCACCTCCCCCCTTTAAAAAATATGCTTTTATTGATTTAGAGAGAGAGAGGAAGGGAGAGGGATAGAGAGATAGAAACATTGATGAGAGAGAGGAACACCATTGATCGGCTGCCTCCTGTACGCCCCACACTGGGGACCATCGATCGGCTGCCTCCTGTACTGGGGATTGAGCCTGCAACCCGGGCATGTGCTCTGACCGGGAATCAAACCATGACCTCCTGGTTCATGGACTGACACTCAACCAGTGAGCCACGCCAGTTGGTCAGCACCTCCCTTTTAGTTAAGATTTAGTCTGAGTTTCCCAGGAGCACAGCTCCATCCTCAGACGAGCTTCTATAAACCCAAAGGTCCTGAGCAACGTGTTCATCAGCCGAGAAATAGAAGCTTCCATGGGGCAGCATGGCCCTGGGTGCTCTTTCCTCACATGCTCAGCTGGGCGGGACTTAGTTGTCCAGGGGATTCTGCAATCCAGGGTGCAAAGCCCAAAGCCCAAATCCAAACCGTCCTGTTTGCCTGAGACTTTCCTGGTTTCAGCACTGAAAGCCACTCACCCTGAGAACACCTTCGGTCCCAGCAAACAGGAAAGGCCGGTCACCCCACTGGGTACAGACCCACGCAAAGCATTCTGAAAACAGGACCCCAGCAATTTAACCAGCAGTGACAAGGTGTATGGGGTGCTGGGGGGACAGTGAGCCAGCCAACGCCCAGGATTCACAGGGACTTCCTCATGGACACACATGTAATTTCTGACGACGGTCTTAAAGGAGCAGGAGGGACAGGCAGCTCATGGGTCGGCAGCCACTGGGGGACACAGTGTCAGGCTGCTCGGGCCCCTTTTATCCTCCTGAGGCCGCTGAGGTTATAACAATCCGCAGATGGGGAAAGCAGCTTGCCCCAGTAGAACCGGGGTCCTGGGGATTAGGGAGGTGACTCTCACAGGGACAGGAGGAGTGAATGATGAGGACAGACCCTTGAAGTCACAAGCCAGAGCTACGACATGATGCAATGGAAAGAGTGCAGCTCCGGAAACAGCTCCAGGTTCACATCCCTGCCTGCAGCTCACCGGTGAGCAACCTGGGCATGGCTGTGACTTCTGCACAACCTGTTTCCTCATCTGTAAAGCGGAAAAATACAGGAGCAACTGCACACAGTCTTCATGGATAATAAATGAAGAAAGCGTACAAGTGAGTGGCCTAGCTCAGTGCCATCACACAAAGCAGGTCTCCTGTGGGAAGGGCAGGGCCGGACCTGACCTCGCCCAGCTCTGCTGGCTCGCACATGGACCAAGTGTCAATCACCAGGCCTCCTGCCTCAGCTTCCTTACCGGTAAAATGGGGGAAACAATTCCTGCCTTTCCTACATCAAATAAGACAACGGGTAGGAAAATGGATTGAAAAAAATATGAGAAAAAGTTGAGGGTTTTTTTGTGTTTGTTTGTTTAATCCTCACCCGAGGATATTTTTCTCATTGATTTTTAGAGCAAGTGGAAGGGAGGGGGAGAGACAGAGAGAAAGAGAGAAACATTGATTGGTTGCCTCCTGCACATGCCCCGACCAGGGCCAGAGATGGAGTCTGCAACTCAGGTTACATGCCCTTGACAGGAATGGAATCCGGGACCCTTCAGTCTGAGGGCCGACGCTCTAACCATTGATCCCAGCTGGCTAGGGTAAAGTCGAGTTGTTTGTAAAGAATGACAGGAAGCAAGAAAGAAAAAGAAAAAAGACAATGCAAAGGAGACACTCAGGCAAGAAGAGAGGTCCTGCAGGGTGGAGAGAGGAAGAGACAGTGAGTAAAAATCCAGGTTTGGAGTGGGGTTTGAATCTGATCTGCTGCCAGCAGGCTGTGCAACTCAGGCAAGTAAGTCAGGCTTTCTGTGCCAGGTCTCTCACACGTGAGTGGTAACCATGGGGATAAATGGTAGTGCTGCATCCTGCGGGGAGCAAGTATGTGAGCATTAAATGAGAGACGAGCCACTGGGCTCCGCTGAGCACAACGCAGGGGCAGTGGAGGTGCTCCTGAATGGAGCTGTTACTCATCATCCTCATTCCTCAGTCCCACTTCCACCGCCTGCCCTCTCTGTCCGAAACTTGCTGATCTCTCATCCACTGGCCAATTTATTGAGCAACTACTATGAGCACAACACAGCTCAAGGCATCAGGACACAGCAGTGAACACAATCTACACAATTCTGCTCCAGGGAGCTCACACTCCAACGGGGAGATGGGCAGTAAACAAGGAAACAAACATGCCACCTAATTATATGAAAGAACATCAGTGAATATAGAAGTTATAACCACATAAAAGAGTGAACTGAGAGCACGCAAGGCGGGGCCTCACCTGGCGTACTCCAGCCGGGGCAGCAGCAGGTAGAGCCCGATGCAGAGCCCGAGGAAGACGTCCGCAGTCAGAAAGAAGGCCAGGGTGCTGTCCGTCACATCATTGGACAATGCCAGGTCCACCAGGGAGGCCACGGCACTGATGGTGCCGCCCATGGCTCCTCCTGCAGGGAGCACAGGACGTCAGGGAAAAGGTCAGGGGTGGGTCCATCTTCCTCAGAGAACACCTCTTCTGCCCAAACCAACCACACTGGGGAGAGGCTCAGGGGATGTCCAGCACAGCTCTCCCGCTGCCTGGGAGCCAGGCTCTCTGACCTGGGCAGCCCTCACCCGTCACCATGGCCCGGTGCCGCCCACCTAGGCTCAGGAACTTACCTGGCACCCCAAGGCAGCTTTGGCACCATGCACGTGTGAACACATGGGTGCATGCATACACACATATTCACACACATACCCTATCACATACACAAACACATACACACACTACACACACATACGCTACCACATACATGCTTGTACTCTATCACATATCAGTATACACACATATCCACACACCTACACTATCTTACACGCTCACACACAACACACATACACTATCACATACATGCTCACACACTCTATCCCATGCACACACATATACTCACACACAGACATAGTAACCCACAGTCAAATATATACTCACACACATATCCTATCATAATCTTACACACGTACACACGCACTCACACGCAACTGCTCCACCACATGGAATGTTCTCTCTTGCCAAGGGCTTTGATCTGTGACACATGTGACTATGTGGCACCTTTCACTGCTACCTAGCAGGGAAGGCTGCAACACCTGGTGGACCCAGAGGTCCAGGACCCAAACAGATGTACGCCTGACCCTGGACTGCCATGTGCATTGGGACCTGGGTGCTGACATGACATCCTGGAGACAGTCTGCTCATCTGTACAATGGGGATAGCAGCCCCTGCCTTCCATGGCTGCTCTGAGGACTGAGTGACATGATGTTGGAAAGGGCCCCGCACAAGGTAGACTTTCAACAAACGCCAGTCCCCTCTTTGCCATGATCATAGTTATTTTGGGGAGAAGGAATGTCTTTCTTTTCTGTTGAACCCTCCAACTTTTACTGGCCCAGAATCAGCAGTTATATGTGTTACACATGTGAGCAGATCATTTACTCCTCTCTGCTCTGTTTACGTGCCTGGAAAATGGGGTTAATGATTGCCCTGTCATCACATGAGGCTGTAGTGGGGGGAATGGGACAATGAACAGAGAAAGCACTGAACACAGACACAACCATCGGTACCAGTACAGTCAGTGCCTAGTGACTACGTTGGACCGACTGGCTAAATGAGTGAACTTTTTTTAAAATATTTTTTTTTATTGATTTCAGACAGGAAAGAGAGGGAGAGACAGAAACAGCAATGATGGGAGAGAATCATTGATTGGCTGCCTCCTGCACATCCCTTACTGGGGATCGAGCCTCAACCCAGGTATGTGCACTTGACTGGACTCGAACCCGTGACCCTTCGGTCTGCAGGCCGACGTTCTAGCCCCTGAGCCAAACCCGCTAGGGCTGAATGAGTGAATTTTGATTCTCAAGGAAGCAAGAAGCGGCTGACTGCAGACAGCAAACAGCACACTGCGTGTAGGATGGAGGGCTTTGCCACTGTATTAGGCAGCTCTGACCGGGCACCACTTATCTGCCCGGCATTGCACAGAGCAGAAGTGGGAGCAGGGCAGTTCTGGCCCTTGTCCACCATAACGCCCATCATCACTGCCTCACCCACACTCCACCGACACCTCTGTGGCGCAGCACGGAACGGCCCACGGCACTGACGGATGACCCCAACCTTGTCAGCATGAGCTCGATTAATCACAGGCTGGGATTCGAAGGAAGGCAAAGAAATAACAGCTAGCATAGTGATTAAGAGCACAGACTCAAGAACCAGAACATCTGAGTCCAAACCTGGCTCTCCCACTCTGGCTGTGTGAGCTTCAGCAAGTCACTTAACCTCTCTGTGCCCCCCGTTTCCTCATCTTTAAAACTGGGGCTGTTAATAAACCCCACCTTTTAGGGTTGTTATAAGGATTAAAAGTATTATTACATAAAAGTGCTCAGAAGAACACCTGGCACAGAGAAGTACTATATAAATCCTCTCAGATTCTCAATTAGGTGTTTGGCTATTTCTGTCCTTCCTACATCAAAGCAGCAACAACAGAGTAAACCCTTTGCCAAGAGGCTGCCAACTTCTGAGAAGCTGTAATCCCCACCTGGGCGTTTTGTGAGAACTGGGGTTAAACTCAGTAAGACATTCCCCGGCTGCCCCGAGGAGCAGATCTAACATCGCTGCCTATTGATTTTCCTCCCTCCCTCCCCAAGTCACAGAAAATTTACAATATTATCATCAACAACAAACCAGGCCTCGGGGAGCTCATCCTTCATGACTCCCTCCTTTTATCTCATCAGTTATGGAAATACATGCAAATGAGGGGTTGAAAAAAAACCCAGTATAGAACGGATGGATTGTTCCTCAGATGCCTACATGCGCAGAATTCACAGATGGGCTCCTCTGGACGAAAAACCGGGGCTGGTGAGGTGGCACTGGGGCCTCCGGGAAAGTGGATCCCGGGGACTTTCCAGCGTGATGGGTGCCCACAGTGACGACAAAGGCTCAGGGCCCGGGGTAACGAATACAGAAGTGTGAGTACTGGGTTTCAACACTTTTTCAGAACTGGACTTTCTGTAAAGTTCAGGGAGCATCCATTCCCTCCTCTAGATTCGTGGGTGGCCAGATGAACCCGAAGGGCTCTTGCCAACATTAACGGTGTGTTTGGTCACTGGCCCCTGAGAGGTAACGAGCATGGTTGATGCTTTATTAATAATACATCTTCCAGCAGACGGAGGGAGCTGAGGGGAGGAGAGTTCTCTCTCAGACGGGGATGACAGAAGGGATTAGATCAGCATCGGTGGCCATTCCTCCAGCCTAGGCATGCCCTTCTGGAAGCACTGCTCGGATACATTGATTGCACTCCAGAAACTTAACAATGGGTCCATTATTTTATTTTAGGCCCAAGGGCACAGACTCAAGAACCAGAACATCTGAGTCCAGTCCTATATCAGAAATAGCAATTATATCTGAGGCCACATCTAGACAGTAGCTGCCTCCAGGGCTGTGTTGAGAAGGATTTAGAGCAAGCAAGTCAAACTCGGACCTGCGGGCCACCTGCCTTGTTTATTTGGCCCGTGTTAGCCTTTGAGTTTGACATGCTTGATTTAGAGGCTCAGAAGGAACAATCCAGATCTATTAGTGATGTCTGGCACTGGCATGGGAGTGGGAAGGGGACCTACCCTTGCTGAGGTATTTGTCATCCCTGCCACATACGACCTGGCATATTCACTATGGGCACACAGTGGGTTCTTTGTGAAATTCTCCTCAAGTGGGCAAATGCTCACAGCACTACTCCACGTGACGGGGCGTTTGGAGACGCCCAGCAGAGCGGCTGCGCCCCCAGTCTTGCTTTACGGGGTGGTGGTCTCCCCACCTGACCCAACTCCTTTTTATCTTGTTGGGACATCTGGGTGAGAGAACGGAACTGCTGAGGGCTAAATACCAGGCTTAGGGTCAGCATCAAAATTTCGGCTAAAGCGCATGGCCCACATCACGCATCAGCGCCCGCCCCCCGCCCCCCCATACAATGCCAAAGTCCAGGGCACGGAGTTTATTTACTAGGCTGTCAGCTCCTGAGCGGCTGAGTCTTGTTCATCTTTGCATCCCCAACAGAGAGCAGGTCTTCTATACCATCAGAAAGGAGGAAATGACAGGTAGAGGGGAGGAAAGAAGGAGAAAAGAAGGGGGAAAGGTAAGGGAATGGAAAAATAAAGAGAAGGGAGGAGACAGGAGAAGGGAAAGGGAGAAGGAGGAAGGGAAGAAAGGAATGCCGTTTCAGGGAATGCACTGGGGAGGCAGACTGGCTGCAGCCCTGCCCTCCCTCCCACCTGCCTCTGCCCATGTAATTTTCTTACGCGCCCACTGAGACAGTGTGCAGACCGGCTTATGGTTCTGGTGGAAGTGACCCTAAATGGCAAAATCATAAAAGAAAATAACATTCTGCCTGGGTCTCTTGGGATGCCTGTTCTTGTGACCCAGAGCATGCCACGGGGAAGCCCAGCAGCCATGGCAGGGTCCAGGTGGAGAGCAACCCTGGCCCCAGCCCTGGCTGAACTTCCAGCCAACGGCCAGCACCAACGTGCCAGCCAGGTGAGCATGCCATTTGCAGGTTTCTGAGCAAAACAAAACACAATAATAGCTCATGGAACCACACCTAACACTCACTTCGTTTTCTCAAAGGGCAGTCATGTGCTCCCCTCTGGCTCCTTCAGGTGTCACCGGCAGGAATTTCTGAGCAAAACCGAACACAATAATAGGTCATGGAACCACACCTAACACTTCCTTTGCTCAAAGGGCAGTCACGTGCTCCCCTCTGGCTCCTTCAGGTGTCACCGGCAGGACTAACCTGGCCGGCTGTCTGGACCCCAGCTCTCACCTGATATCAGCGCCTGGGAATTCCTCATAGGGAAGGAGCCCGTCATGCCGAAGACGCTGCTATTGAAGACGGTGGAGGTGCCACTGAGGATGGCCATGCAGGCGATGGTGACAGCAAAGAAGCTGCGGGTCCAGGAGGAGGTGTCCACCTTCACCAGCACGGTCATGACCACGAAGATGGCCAGCATGACAGACAGCGAGGCCAGCACACGGACATGAACCGGAACTCTAGGGTGAAGATGCAGAAGTGGTGAGGGACCCCCTCGGGCTCCATGCCAGGCCGGGGGTGGGGGACATTCTTAAGGGAAGCAGGGGAGCTCAGGGACTGGGACTGTCCATCTGCAGCTAGGAGGCCTGGGTCTGAATCCTGCCCTTCCCAGAGCACTCGCTGTGCGGCCTTGGATAAGTGACTCAACTGCTCTGGCTTCAGCTTCTGCATCTGTACCACAGGGAGGGGACTGAGTCTATCCGCCCAGTGGCTGTGAGGATCTCCACAGGGGTGTGTGCAGAGTGCAGCGGACAGTGTCCGGCTCAGAGCAAATGCTCGGCGGACGCTGCTTCTTTCTGTCTTGCTGTGAGGTTCAGGACAGAGCATGAGGGCTCCTGGGGCAAGCCCCCTGCTCCTCCTGCCACAGGGCTGAGCTCCTGCTGACTTGCTCTAGTGTTTGACAGAGTAGCAGTGGGGGAGGAAAGAGAAAGAAGGAACACATCATCACTATCATGGTCACAGCAAACACTGGGAACTTAATTTGTGTAGGTCTACTACTAAGCGTTTTCTATGTGCTAATGCTGACTTCACACACCAGCTCCACAGACAGGCATTCCTACTTATCCCACAGGCACAGAGAAGGACACTGAGGTCAGAGAAGCTGAGGAACTTGCTCAAGGTCATTTGGCTTGAACCCAGGTCTGGCTGCAGTCTGGTCTCAGAATAGACACTCCAGTGCCTCCCCTGGAATAAGGAAGCACAGGTGGTCCAGACAAGCGGCCAGGGCAGGGTTCTCCTGGGATGGTCTCCGTTGTGGGCAGCAGCTGAGGCCAAGCTGTGCAGCTCAGGGCCAGCCCCCTGCCCCACCTCCCACCCCGAATGTAAGCCCTACACTCCCCCCACTCCCCACACTGCCCAGACACTGCCCTTCAGGGAGGAGAGGGAAGGCTGACTCTCAGAAAAATTGTACATTCTTATTCCAGGGAGAGAGAACATCATCTAAAGAGGCTGCTTCAAAAAAAAAATAATAATAAAGAGGCTGTTTAAATCATCAGATTAGACTAAGCTTTAAATCGGATTGGAAGTTAAGTTAATTTTCCTGCTAACCAGTGGGTGAGGGCTGGGAGAAAAGCCAGATTAGTTATACACAATTTCTTTTTTTGACTAAAAAAATTATAAAGATTTGAAAGGTAGAAAAAAATATACGTACATAAATGGGTGTGAAATGATGAACATGAAAAGCAAGAAAAAATTTTTCTGGTGCTTTTGTGGCCCCAGGCTAATCTGTTCCCTTCTGATCCGGCTGACGGAGCCGGTGCTGCCTCTGCTTTCTGAGGCAGAAGGAAGCCCAAGAAGTGAAGGGATGGTCCAGAGCCGTGGTGTAAGCCTGTGGGGAGCTGGGACTAGAACCCAGGTCTGCAGAGCCCCAGCGCAGCAGAGCCTGGAGGCAGACCTTACTGGAACTTCCCAGGTGAAGAATGAGAACATCTTTCTTGTGTCTCTATTGTTTGTTACCCAGAGTGCCAACTAACACAAAGAGGCACTCAGGGCCTCCAGCTGGGAGCACATGCTCAGGGTGCCCGCCCCTGTGCCCGCCCTCTTACTAGGAAGCAGGCTGCAAGTGACAGGTGATTAACACCCGCTAAGAGCAAACTTCAACCAGTGCCCAGGAAGGGGGTGGATAAACACCCCAGCTCCTTCCCACGGGGTGTGTGCTTTCCAGGAGCCCAGAGCTTCCCTGGCAGGTCAGGCTTAGCACACCCCACGGGCATTCTCTATTGCCTGCCTTTCCTTCCTCTCCCTTCCCCACTCTCCTACCGCCACCTCCCAAATACACTACTTCTAAATAAAATCCTTGTTCCAGGGTCCATTTCTGGGGAGCCCCACACTAAGACTCATCTTCCCGGGGTCCGCAGGGGTCTAGGCCTGGGGAGGAGCTGGTGGGCAGCCAGGTGGGGCACCTGAACCCCTGGGGGCCCTGAGCATCTGTGTAAGTGCACACAGGTGCCCTGGAGGCAGGTGGGCAGGCCTGACCTCTGATGCTTGGGGAGATCCTACACACTCAACGCTGCCACACAGTGCCCCGCCCTCCCCCAGCAGCTGGAGCTGCCCCGTTCACCCCCAAAAGAGGAGCCAGCAGGGACTCCTCAGAGACTGGAGTCCTGGCCAGCTCTGCACTGACTCACTGTGTGACCCCACGCGAACAGTCAACCTTTCTGGGCCTCAGTCTCCTCATTTCCAAAAAGAAGAGGCTGGATAAGGTAACATTCAGCCCCTTCCAGCTGATGATTCTAAATCTGAAGACACCCAGTGGAGAGAGGCTGGGGACAAACGCCCAAAGGTGTTAACAGTTCCATGGGGCAAAAAGAAGGAACAGGCCAGACCAGGAGGTACGGAGCTACACAGAACAGGGCCTATGTAAGCTGTTATCCTGAGGGCTGGCACGGGCCTGGCAGGCACCTGGCAAACATCAGCTGGATACACGAGCGGACAAGCAGGGGTACCAGCAGTGCAGGGAGGCTTTCACACTGGGCCTGAGCCTCCCAGTCCCTCTGCCTCCCGACCCCTCAGCGTGGCAGGGAGACAGCTGTGAGCACCTGCAGCGTTTCCAGCGGCCTTGGGATAGCTTCTGCCTCTACCCACCTCCTCACAGGCCCTGCAGGACAGTCCACCTCGGGAGCTCTGGGGCCTCGCAGGAGCTCCTGTGCCTGTCACCATCCCCTACGTAGCTACTTGAACAGGACAGACGCTTTGGAGAGAGTGGGGACTTCTTACCCAGCACCCACAGGGTGGGGAGGGGAGGGGAGAGTCAGGGGTGAGGACATAAATGCCACATGCATTAAAAAGCAACGCAAGCCACCTTTGCCTCCACCTCCGCATAAAGCCCCTCACCTGCACGGTCTCCTCCTGGCCTACTCATTACTGGCTGCATAACCCCTTCTCCTCCATGGGCCCCAGGCGCTCGGGACCTGGCCCGGGGCTATTTTCAATGCTCATAAAGCTTTATGATACATGCTAGTGCAGCCTGCCCCACATACACTAATGGGGCACGCTGGCTCCACTCTCTGAAAGTGGTCCAGGGGATGGTGATGCTGTTGGGATTTTAGGGGAAGTCTTGACAAGTGTTGCCCCGGTGTGGGTGTTCTGCGCTGGGACAGGGGAAGGCCGAGATTGCTCCAGCGCCTGGACCCTGGGCAGGTCACACGGCCCTGAGACACGGAGAGGGTTGCCAGCTGTCCCAGGCTGGCTGCCAGCTCCCCCACCCCCTTGCTTGTGAGGCTCGGGACCCCAGGGGACTGATTTCTTCACAAATCTCCCACATGTAAATCCTCCTCATAAGTATTTATGATGCTGCGGATTGAGCATAATAAAACGCTCGGCGATTATGGATGAGCCAGTCAGAGAAAGCCAGGGTTCTCCAGGAGGCAAGAAAACGAGACATTTCATTCTCGCACATTAAACAAAAAACAGCTCAGCCTCAAACCACCTTCCGGGGGGGCTTGGGAGCACTCCCCACATTGCTCTCCCGTGGCCAGCGGAGGGCAAGGCCAGGCCCGGGCAGGCTGGACCTTCTGGAGGAAGCCTGAAGTGCTCAGCCCTCAGGGCCAGCTCTCTGCCCAACCGTGCAGCCCCGGGTCCCCACTGCAGGCAGACCCAGGCCTTCCTAAGCACCTCCCTCCTTCCAGTAGCTGGAAGCCAGGGCAGGACAAGCCCTCAGGTGAAGGGTCTGAGGTGTGGATCTGGCTGCAGGGAGGGGCCGGAAAACCTGGGGACAGGAGGTAGGGGGCCCGGAGGTTCTCAGCACACATGTGGGGGAGAAGGATCCCAGTTCCAATGCTGGCTGCACCCTCTTATCAGCCATGGGACCACCTGTAAAACAAGGCAGTAAGTTTCCTGTTCTAGGCTGTGGCAGGGATCAAAGGAGGGAGCGCGTGTTCAGAGAATAGAATACAATCAGAGTATTCTATTCTCCCAGGGCCCTAGGAGGGCCTTCCCTGCCACTGCTGACCCCAGCCCCAGGATGGCTCCTGACCTGGACTTCACAACTGCTTGGTAACTCAGTCATGACACAGCCGCCCTCCTGGGTTGCTGTGCAGCCTAAGTGATACAACAGGGGATCTGCAGGCATCACCCCTTGTTACAGCTCAGATAGAGACTCCAGATCAGGAAAGGGCAGGAGCTCTCATTTATGTGCGCCTGCGCTAGCCCAGCTGCACAAGTGAGTGGACAGAGGATCATGAGAGAGGCTTAGAGAGGAGAGAGGGTAGTGAGGAGCCGAGGGACTCTCCCCATGGGGCTGTCCCCCTCCTCTTCCATCCCCTTCCTGTCCTCATGCTCTCTTTCAAGTCACTGCCAGGGACCCAGCTGTGCCCTCCAGGGGCTGACAGTGCTGAGGGAACCCCTGGCTCTGCTCCTAGCTCCATTCCTCCACCTCCTCAGGGCTGGGGAACTGGAGGCTGCACCCCCACCTCCTAGGACACTGAAGGTAGAAGGCAGCCCCATGTGCCAGGACAAGGGCCTGAGGCCATCTGAGCACCATTCTCCTTCTTGCTCTTCCAAGCTTCACTTTGGTTTGATGATGGGTGCACACTCTTCAACATTCCTTCCACTGAGAGTCTCTGGGGGCTGCATCCCCACCTCCTAGGACACTGAAGGTAGAAGGTAGCCCCATGTGCCAGGACAAGGGCCCTGAGGCCATCTGAGCACCATTCTCCTCCTTGCTCTTCCAAGCTTCACTTTGGTTTGAAGATGGGTGCACACTCTTCAACATTCCTTCCACTGAGAGAGGGGTCTCTGTCCCCTTGGAACCAGGGGGCTCTGTGACTGCCTTGGGCAGTCGGTGACGCAGAGTGATACCATGTGACTGCAGAGAGTAGGTTACGAGAACCACGTGGCTTCTGCCTTGTCTCTTGGAGCACTTGTTCTTCAGCCACAATATGAAAAGCCCTACTACCTGAGGCCAACATGGGAGAGACTACAGGGAGAGGGGAGCGGAGGGGAGGGGAGGGGAGGGGAAGTCTGCAGAGCAGAAAGCTGCTAAAATAGCCTTAGATTCTGCTTCCACTCAGCCCCGCGCTGACGGGTGTCATCTTTTTCCGCTACATTCTGCTCACAGCTGGCCTGGGGGACGTGTACGGGGACTGTCTCCCCACCCCCACTCCCCTGCACCAGAACCCAAGCTCCTCCCACTGCCTTGTCCAGGGCTGTACCCTCAGCTCCTAGCCCAGGGCAGTGCCCATCACAAAGGATGACCAGCCACTATGCTCTGGGATAATTTTTACACAACAGGTCATTGGAACAGCCCCATAGCGTAACATGTTTGGAAAGACTGGCCAGTGCAGGCTCAGTACACATGAAATACATGTGCTGCCCCCTCTATTCTGTACTCAGACAGACATCACTAATCCATCCCAGCACACTCCCCAAGGCCAAACGTGCCTTAGATTTCTGTTCAACCAGAAATCCAGGCAAGCACTACAAATTGAGCAAAGTTAGGCAAAACGGGTTTGCCATTAGAGATTTAAGGTTTCAGTAGGTTGTGCCCCAATTCAGGTTTCTGAAACATGACGTAGCCGCTGTATCACCTGGCGGTAGTTCAGGGAATAGGCAGGCACAGTAGCTGGGGCTGTTGGCCTTGTAAACCTTGACTGAGGATGGATGGCAACAGCCACCCACCCAGTGGGGCCTAAGGGCCATGCTATTGGCCTGGCTGTCTCCTAAGTCAGTCCTTCTTCCATGGCCCGTCGAGATGGCAGCTCTCTCCCAGCCCCTCACTAACACAGGTTGGAAGTTCCCCACTGATCCCTTTGTGAGTAGTTGACACACGCGCTGGTGTCACCAGCTTAGCACCGAGCAGTTAGGTGAGCCAGTCCCCACAGCCAGAGCCAGACTCAGGGGATGCCAGGCTCTTCACTTCAACCTGCTCTCAGAAAAGCTCGGAAGACCAGCTTCCACAGGACTTGCCTCCGGGCCCTGCCTCACCATCCAGGTGGTGTCCCTTGGCTGCAAGGCCCACAGGCAGGGCAGCCATTGATAGACAGGCCCCCTGGAGAGGAAGATGGGAGAAGACCCACGTCCCCCCGTCTCCTGCTGGCTGCTGATGCCCCGTCACAGTGTGTGGCTCAGAAAGTCCACTTCCAGGCGGGGCCTCCCACCGGCAGGGCCCCAGGTAACCGATCTGACTTCCCAATCTTCACGGAGGAGCCTGAGCTGCCTGCCTCCTACCTTGGCGGCCACCCTTTAAGCAGGCAGAAAAGCAGCAGCTATGGACAAAGGGCAGTGGAAGAGGCAGGAAGGGAAGGTCGTGGAGGTCGGGCTTGGGAGAGGGGGGAACGTGCCTACCTGTTGACAAGCAGGAAGTTCGCCACAAGGCACAGCACGGAGGGCACGGTGGAAGCGATGGAGAGGTAGCTCTCAAAGTAGTTCTGTAAGCACAGAAGTGAGGAGGCCGCTGAGGTTACTCGAGAACGAGGGGAGGGGTCCCCCAGAGCATAGAGACAGGGCTCCTGTGGGGGGCTTCTCCCTCTGTCTTCAGAAACTTACAAGAGATGGGTAAGACACTCCTGCCCCATCTCCAACCCAGGATCACTCCCTGGGTCACTCCACACACAGACACCGATATGAGCCGTGCTAGGTGCTCGGGACATAAGGAAGGAAGAAGCATTGCCCCTGCCCGCAGAGTGGCCCCCAAAGATCTGCAGGCTACACTCCCCCTAGTCTACCTGCCCCACCTGTGGACGAGGCAAGGTGAACAGGACTCAGTGTACGTCTACAAAGAAAAAATTTGCCCATCAGCCTTCTTAGCCCACGGTCAAACTCCAGAATTACCCACACGGGCTTTGTTATGACTCAGCCACATCCTTGGTTCTTGCAACCAAGTGAGGCCTCTTAAAAACACACCGGGCCCTGATCCCTGCAGGGAAACGTTGTTCTGACTCTGGATTAACTCCATCAATAGAGCAGCTACTAAATGTCAAAGCCATTTGGGGAAAAGGCTCTTAGACTGGCCAAGCTGAGGAAACTGGGCATTTCCTGGAAGCAGCGCATGGGTATTATAGACAGAGAGTACAGGAGCCCACAGACGATAAAGAATTTCTGGGCAGAATGTGCTGGAACCTATGGCTACAGAAGCTGTGCAGCAACCAAATGTGTTTTACAAAACTCGGAGAACTGTCCACTTATTAGGGCGTATTTTACTGTGTGCACATTATCCCTCAATATACTTGTCTAAAGACACAACACTGGCCCTGGCTGGTTTGGCTCAGTGGACAGAGCGCCAGGACTGAAGGATCCCGGGTTTGATTCTGGCCAAGGGCATATGCTTGGGTTCCGGGCTCCTTCCTCAGTAGGGGGCATGCAGGAGGCAGCCAATCAATGATACTTTCTCATCAT